TTTTTGGTAAACATGGGGTGACTTTTTTCTTGGAGGGGGGGGTCGTCCAGGGATTGAGCCCAGGGGAGCTTAACCACTGAGCCTCATCCCAGCCCTTTTTATTTCTTATTTAGAGATGGTCTCTCTGAGTTGCTAAGGCCCTTGCTAAGTTGCTGAGGCTGGACTTTGAACTCTGGATCCTCCTCTCAGCCTCTGCAGCTGCGGGGGGATTATACCCCCCCCAGCTGGACAAGGCTCTTACCACCCAGCCACACCCCAGCCCAGGTTCTACTTGTTTATTTTTTTCCTCCTCATGCTGAGGCTGGAACCCAGGACCTTGTACATGACGTGTGTTCCCTCAAGCTACAGATCTACCCATTTTCTGAAGCCGAACACTGGTGGAAGGGGAGGGTGAGGATGAAGTGAGACGAGAGAAAATGACCTGGTGAGTGTTAGGTAGGAACATAGCCATAGAGGACGAAGCACCCAGTCCCCTCTGGGGCTCCTGGCTGGCTGGGAGACCCACAGAAGATCAGCAAGTCAGTTTCCGGTGACTTCTGGTTGAAATGGTTCAGGGAAGAGCAGATGTGGGGTGGGTGGTTTAGATTGAAGGTCAGAACTTTGCTGAGGTGACATTTGATCTATGACTTGAAGATTAAAGAGAACCGGGTAGGCAGGGGCTAGAGGGAAGGGAGTCCCAGGTGGAAGCAGCAGCATGTGCAAAGGCCCTGGGGCAGCATGGAGCTCGGATGCTTAAAGGTTGCTCAGAAAGTCAGTGTGGCTGGAGCTGGTGGGCAGGGCAGAGGTTGTGGGCGCTGAGATGGCCACATTCAGCAGCCACACCCCCAGGGGAGGCTCCTGGGTCTTGGCCAGTGAATAGAAGTGGCTTTTCTGTGTGTGTTGAAGGAAGCAGACTCTGGGCTGGGCAAAGCAGCACTGGTGCATGAAGACAAACAGCCTGGGGGAAGCTGACTGGTCTGGTCTTGTGGAACAGATAAGGGTCCTGGAGTGTCATCCCGGATGTCACTGCTGTGGCCTTGTCCTCTGTGAGTCCCCTCCTCTCACCTGGGGCTCCCCAGGCTAGGCCTGACCTTTGCAAGCCTGAGGGGCCTCGGGGCCTGTGCTGGTCCACCTGCTCCCTCCCGCCCCGGGGCTGGGTCTCCCTCCGTGTCCCAGTGAGACTTGAGGCTGCTCCCGTTCTGTTCCCGCGCGCTTTCTTGTCCACCCCCACATCCAGGTTCCAACACCCATGTCACCTGAGCCCGCCCACTCTTGTATCCCGCCAACCTGCCCCTTTTCCCAGACCCAAGTACTTCAACCTAGATGCCACCCTGCCCTCTCCTCCTGCTCTGATTACCCCTGCCCCTTGGTGGCCACAGGGGACTTCTTAAAAGCATAAATTAAAAGTCTCCTCTCCTACTCACACACCCTCCATGGCTCCCTATCACCAGGGGGAGGAGAGGAAGAATGTCCATGCACTTCTGCCCTCGTCAATGCTTTATTCCTCAAATCGCTCCATACAGCTTCACTCCACAGGTTCTTAACCAAGGAAATGGCAGTCCCCGAGGCTGGGCACTGCAATCGACATGACCCACTCACAGCAAACCCTTCTAGATTAGTCTAAGCTCTGCAAACACACTTGATCAAGATAGTCTCCCGACAGAAGGTCCCTCTGTGTGCTAAGCTCCAAAGTCGCAAGCCTTAGGCTCCAAGTCCAGCAGATGCACACTCACTCGGAGTGCGGTGACAGGTCCGCATCCAAGGCAGGCTTTTCCCGGGGTGGAGTGGGCGGCCGGTTGAGGAGGGGGTCGTCGGGAGAAGTTGCGGCTCTCACCCGGGGCCAGACGAGGCGGTAGAGTTTGAGGGAGTGAGGATCACACAGAGGATCAGCGTGAGGACAAGTGACGGGATGTCAGGTCCTCCTCAGGCTCTTCGGCTCTATTATTTATACAACATTTGGGGGCTTTTGACCCCCCTTTCAATCCTTATCAGCTACCACCGTGGGACAGAAGGTTCTCTGGGGACAGGAGCATCTGGTCTGGTGGTCCCCACCCTGATCTTCTCGCCTTTCCCTCTTATCAGGCCAGCTTGACTCTGTTTATCAGGGTGAGGGGAAGTGACTTCTCTGAGCCACACTGGGGGCCCTGTGGCTGTGCCTGCTGACACTGCAGGTTTCCAACTGGAGTTTTTAAAATGGAGTGGCTCAGGCTCAGGCCCCCGCCCCCGCAGCCCCGCCGCCTCCCGCATGGAACATGAGGTTCTTCCTGGTCGGCCCGGTTCTGCTTTCTGACTCCAGGCTGGTCCAGAAACCCTCCTGTCTCCTCCATGTCCCCCTCCAGCACCCTAGGCCTGTGCCCACCTCGGGGCTCTGTGCATACTGTGCCCTCTGCCTCCAGTGACCTTTCCCCAGGGCCCGGCCCGGGGGGTTCCGAAATATCCTTCAGAATCTCCCTGGTGCCCGCTCGATCATGTCCCCTGCTGCTTCCTCTTCCCCCTACAGCATTTATAAAAGCTGCTTCTGTCACAGGGCAGAGCGGGTGGCCCCAGAACCCAGTGTACATACAGTAGGTGCTCAATAAGTGCTCCATGGCCCAGCAGCCAGTGCGTCAGATAAGACTTGGGCTCCTGTGTGCCACAGGTTCACGGGCCGCCCACGCAGGGGTGGGCAATGCAGCGTGGGTGCCCCTGTGTCCCCAGGCTCTCTGTCCCTCCACGTTTGGTGTCACCCACGACACAACTCCTTGTGACTGGCTCTGGAAGGCAGTTGGGGGGGTGGGGGGCAGGCCCCTCTCAGAGTTCTGGCTTCTGAGCTTGCTCCATGCTGAGCCTCAGTGTCCCCAGCTGTAAGTGGGGGCTTCTGGGGGGACCAAAGGAGCCAGGACCATGACCTGACTGTTTTTGAGGCCACCACCGCATGGTGGTGAAATATGCAAGCCCTTGTTCCTTCCCCCCCACACACACACCTGGTGGGGTCTCGGCATCTCTGGGTTAGGAACCCCCCGGGGTGAACTGAGGGCCAAACAGGACCTGGCCGCTTCCGGATGGCGTTAAAATCTGATGCCAAGTTCTCTTTCCCGCTGGGAAGGGGCCAGGTGAGGTCTGGGGGGTCCTGGGGTCTCCCCAGGCACTTTTTTTTTGTACTGGGGATAGAACTCGGGGGTGCTTAACCACTGAGCCACGTCCTTAGCCCTTCTTATGTTTTATTCACTTTGTGTGTGTGTGCGGTGCTGGGGATGGAGCCCCGGGCCTTGAGCACGTGAGGCAAGCGCTCTGCCGGCTGCGCCCCAGCCCCAGCCCCTATATTGCACTTAGAGGCAGGGTCTCCCCGGGTCGCTCAGGGCCTCGCTAATCAGCCTGGAGCTTCAACTGCTGGGATCACAGGCGGAGCCACCCACCCGGCTTCCCAGCATTTCCCGTGAACCCCTGAACGTTTTCCTCCCCGCAGTGGGGTCCTGGGTTTAGCTGGAAGCACAGATTAGGGCTCATCCCAGTTCCTGGCGCACCTCCTAACACCTGAGGAATCTTTGCAGCCCCAGGGTCTTGAATGCTAATGAGGCAGCTGGCAGCAGCTGTGGGTAGCTCCTGGAGGGACACTGGTCACCAGAAAGACCTGGAGCAGGATTAGAGGGCTGGGACTGTCGGCCCCACCCCAGCCTCCAGGGAGGGGAGGGGGCTGGCGGGGAGTTGATTGGCCGATGGTGCTGCCAATCATACCTGTGCAAGGAGGCCAGGGGAAAACCCATCAGCGCTGCCCGGGGAGGGTGGGAAAGCCCGCCCCCTTCTCCCGCCCCTCGGGCTGCGCCGTCTCTGCACCCCCGACCCCCGCTGCCCCGTGAGCTCTGTGGCCTACTCCATCAAATTAACGGGACCCAAAGAGGGGTCTGGGAGCACCGATTTCCAACTAGTGGGTGAGAAACCCTGGAAACCCACCTGGGCTGATGGTGGGCATTGGAAGTGGGGGGAGGGGACAGTCTTGGGGACTGAGCCTCAACCTGTGGGACTGCAGGTACCTGGTTGTCCGAACTGGATTGACTTAGAGGACCCCAGCTGGCGGCCCCAGGGCATCCACAGCTTGCTTGGGGTGTATGGGAAGGTCCCCCAGGTACACACACACATCTGACTGGGGGTGGGGGGGCGTCCAGGGTGGTGACAAGCACCCAGCACTTGCTTGTGGAATGAATGAGTGATCTCCGTGTGTGTTCTGAGGTAGGGGCTTCTAGGAAAGGCTGCTGGCCCCAGGATCTTGGGGACCACAGACTCGAACCCGGGCCTCGAGGGGCTGCCCACCAACACCCAGCCCTGTGCACCTCCTCCAGGAAGCCGACCCTGGCCCCCAGGGAACCCTGCGCCCCGTGTCTTCCAGGGCAGGTGTGGGGTCCCGACCCCGCTGATAGCAAGACCTCTGCGGATGGGTGGGTACCGCCCGGGCACAGCCCAGTGTGGTGCCCTGGTCCAGCCTCCTACTGAGAGGAGCCCCAGGTGCCTGCTCCCTCCAGTCCGGCCGGCTCGGAAGATCCATTCCGGGTGTGAAGCCTTAAGGGATCTGAGTTCAGTGGGTGCCTTGGTGAATGAGAAAAAGAGGATCCAGTTTGCATTAATGGGCGTGTAGGGGACCCTAGAGGATAGGAAGGGACAGAGAACCTGGCCCCTCCCACTCCCGCTCAGACCCGCCCGCCGCACCTGCTGGGTGAATGGGGGATCTGTGAGTTTTGTGATGGGATCTGCCAGGATCTACGAGGGTAGCCCCCAGAATCCCTCCAGTTAGAGAAAACAACCCGGAGGAGAAAAAGAGGTGCCAACAAAGATTAAGCAAAAAGTTCTGGGCTGGGGCTGCAGCTCGGCTCTGCTTGCCTGGCACAGGTGGCACGGGTGGCACCGGGGAGGCGGGCGCTGGGTTTGACCCTCGGCCGCATCAAAAGAAAATAAAGGCATTGTGAGCCTTTACAACTACAAAAAAAAAAAAAAAACTTTTAAAAAGTTCTTACAAATAAACATGAAAATAAAACGCAAGCAACAGAATAGGCAGTTATGGAATCCGTTAAAGCCAAGTAGCCGTGTCCAAGGTTCCATTTCCCCTGGGTGCCCAGCCCCAGTTTCAGGAACTGTCCCTCCTTTTCCTTCTTCCTGCCCCTCCCCCTCCCCGGGGTTTTGTGGCTGCTGCTGTTTGGTGGGCTTTGTCGTCGTCTTGGTTTGGTTTAGGTTTTTTCTCCTTTGGTTTTCCGGTGCTGGGGATGGAACCAAGGTCTCAGTGCCGACCCCTGAGCTGTGCACCTGGCCCCTCACTTTGAATTCTCTCTTCTGGGTTATCTGTTGGTTTTGATGGAAATTCCTCAAGCTGTCAAGTATCCGTTGGGGTGGGTGTTGTGCTGGAGCAGGCTATAATAGTGCAGGATGTTACACAATGTGCTTGTCTCCAGCCAAAAGGTCCCCAGCAGGCCCCTGCCCGCCCCCCAAGTCATGGCAACCGAAGATATCTCCAAGCCAGGCCAGGTGGCGCGAGCCTGTGTCCCCGTGACTCGGGAGGCTGAGACCAAGGCCTTGGAGGCTCAAGAAGGATCCCTTGAGCCCAGAAGTTTGAGACCAGCCTGGCAACCTACTGAGATCTGGCTCAAACAAACTTTTTTTAATTAATTGATTTTTTTTAAGAAAATGTCCCCATACAGTTGGATGCAGCTGTCCATGCAACTCGGGAGACTGAAGCTGGAGAATCACAAGTTCAAGGCCAGCCTAGGCAACTAAGCAAGGGTCTGTCTCAAAATAAAAATATAAAAGGGCTGGGGATGTAGCCCAGTGGTAGAGCCCTCCTGGGTTTAATCCCTAAAACCACATGCGCGCGCGCACACACACACACACACACACACACACAAATGTCCCCAGGCAGGTGTCCCTTGGGACTAAGTTACTCTGTTAAGAATTAAGCCAGGTGCAATGGTGCCCACCTGTAATCCCAGCGGCTTGGATGGCTGAGGCAGGAGGATCACAAGTTCAAAGCCAGCCTCAGCAACTTAGTGAGGCCCTAAGCAACTTAGTGAGACCCTGTCTCTAAATAAAATATAGAAAAGGACAGGGATGTGGCTCAGTGATTAAGGGTCCCTGGATTCAATTCCCAGTACCAAAAAAAAAAAAAAAAAAAGAGAGAGAGATTGGCTTAGATTGTAAGCTGCAGATGGGGCAGGGCCTCACCCCCCAAACTTTTCAAAAGTCCTGAATGTCCTATTTCTACCCACTGGATCTCATGCCCTAAAATTAGGTTCATGACTCACCCTCTTCCCTACCATCTGAGCACCCTGGTTGCTGGGGTATCTAGGAGATGCCCTGGCTTCCTTCATGTGATTTCCTCTTTGGTGACTTGGTCTTTCTATGGAGGCGCAGGATGTGGCTGGGAGACCGTCTCCATTGTGAAACTGAAATCTCCTTCAGCATTCAGCTCTTTGAATTTTTGGATCTCCTGGACCTATCTTCCAGAGGCTGAGCCCCCAGGGCTGGCGCCCAGCTTTCCTGAAGGGCCCTCGGCTACTCAGCCCATTCCTACCTCAGGGCCTTTGCACCTGCTATTCCCTCCCAGGTGGCCACCATCCTGGCTTTTCCTTGCATTTCATTCATCTCTCAGCCCAGATGTCAACCAGACCTTAAAATCAAACCAGCCCAGACCCCATCTCCTCCTAGGATATTGGGAAATACATTTGGTCTTCTTCCCATTCCCTAGAATACAATTCCTAAAATCCTGGGAATCTCCCAGGGAGTGTGTCTTTGTATGCTAATGAGGTGACTGGTGGCAGCAGCCCTGAGGTAGCCTCTCAAGTAGGGGCTGCTCACCAAGACAGAATGAGGAAGCTGGGGACCTTCATCCCTACCCCCAACCTCAGGGAAGGGCAGAGGGGCTAAGGCTTGAGTTGGGCAGTGGCCAAGGATCTCGGCAGCCCTGCCTGGGGGTGAGCCTCCGGACCCCTAGGGACAGGCTTCCAGGGCTTCAGGTGGGGCCAGACGGAGGTTCCCGTGAGCGGCACGCCCAGGGAGCTCCCTGCCCTTCCCAGGGTGCCTGGCACCGGGAGCCTGTCCATCCGCGTCCTTCGGGACACTCTGCCCTCCCCCCAGGACAGCACGTTCATGTCCCCTCGGTTCTGGGAGTCGCAACCTGAAGGCGGCCCTTCAGTCCTACTGCTCCAGCCGGGGCGGCTCTTCCTCTGGTCTAAGCCGGTCTCGGATCAGAGGCACCGGAGCGCAGGGACTGGGACGACCTCTGACTGCCGGCCAGCCCGCAGGGAAGGGAAGACCCGGCTGTCCCTCCTTCCTCTGGGTGACGGGCCCTGTGGCAGACGCTGGTTGGATGGCCAGGTCACTGTGTCACTTCCCTCCCCGTCCCTGACACGTTTGGAAATCCTGTGTTTGGGTTCCTTGGTGGACATGGTCCTCCCTGGGTTCCCCTTTAGCCTCTCGGACAGACCAGTGGCAAGGCCGTCCCGGGTGACACAGGGGACCTGGGTTTCTGCCTGGGACCCCCTGCTCCTGCTCCCCTGCCTCGGCTGTTGGCCACACGCCACCTTCCAGCTCAGCCTGGGGTCCTGGTGACCGCTCAGGACTCCCCGGGTTCTGTGCACACCTGGTCCCGTCCCTTCTGTGTCGAGTTTTACGTGTGACTCTGTCTTGATCTGGGAGCTGACTCCAGGCTCGTGTTGCTGCTCTGATTGGTTCAGTCGGAGGCGGCTCGCGGCCTGTTTCTATATTCATTTTTCTGTGCTGAGCTGAGGATCCAGCCAGGCCTCACGGGCCAGGCCAGCGCTCCTCCGCTGAGCCCCGTCCCCAGCCCCATCTTGTCTTCTCCTTAGAGACAGGGTCCCACTGAGCTGCTCAGGGCCTTACTGTTGCTGAGGCTGGCTTTGAGCTCGCGATCCTCCTGCCTCAGCCTCCGGACGGCTGGGATGATGGCGTGCCCCACCACACCTGCAAAAGAGCTGCAGCTGGGCCAGGGGCACACCTGTCCTCACAGCGGCTCCAGGGAGCTGAGGCAGGACGACGCAGGTTCGAGGCCAGGCTCTTCCACAGGGCGGAGGCTGGCAGTCTGGGGGCAGGGCTCCACGTGGGCAGGTGCCTCTCGAGCAAACTGACCAGACCCGAGGAAGGGCCGGGACCCCGACTGCAGCCAGAAGCCCAGAGAACACCCCCTGGGGCTGGGGCTGGGCATGGGGCGCCAGCTGGGGGCTGAGCCTCGGCCTGTGGGGGCTGAGCCGCCTCGGGGGAGGGGGGGAGAGACTCAGAACAGAACTGGGTTAGAGGAAGCTGCGCAGGTGTCCACTGCAGAGCTGACCGCCTGGCGGCTGGTGAGAAGTCCCCACCCGTCGTGGGTTGCAGCGGTGACGTGGTGTGTGCCCAGCCAGGAACCAAGCCTGAGCTGCTTCTCTACTCCCCCCTGAGTCTTCCTCTCCCGTCACCTTGGTTGAATTAGTTACTTGCTGTTCACCACACTCCAGGGTGTGGGCCCCACAGTGGCGGGACCCACGTGTCCCCCGCGCCTATCCACCGATGCGTCCCCAGCTCCTGGTGTATTAGAGGAGCGCAGGCCATGAACAGATGTGGTGCATTATCCTGAGAATCGGGGTTTTTTCCAGGGGCTGTGGCGACCCAACATTCTTTCATTCATTAGTCACACGTTTATTGAGCACCTACTATGCACATAGAGGCTGGGAATAAAATGGGAAAATGCGTTGTGGTGGAGAAATGGTCAAGGAAAAAGAAAAAACCCTTTAAAAAGTTTCATTATGTATTTTAGGCGGTGACTAGTGCTACAGAAAAAAGAAGTAGTAAGATGAATACAGATCAGAATAGTTAGTGTCCCACCCACAAAGGTCTTCCTGGGAAGGTGACAGTTGTGCAATGACAGGAAGGAGTTGAACTGCTTAGGATTAGGGGGTGGGGGAAGAGCAATCCAGACAGAGTGAAGAGAATGTGCGAAGGTCCTGAGGCAGGACCACGCCCGGTGTATGGGAGGAGAAACTGTCCATGGTACTTTTAGTAGGGTTGATTCTTCTTGTTTCTATTGAGGCTCAGAGACAGCAAGCTGCTTTCCCAAGGTCACACAGTGGAACCTGCGGTGTAGAATCTGAGCCCTGTTTTGGGGGCTGCACATGTCTATCTGGCCCAGGAGACCTTGGCCAGGCTGAGAGGAACATGTTGGGAAATGGCCTCGTGGGTCGGCAAGGGAAGCCCTGTCCCCGGTTTCCATGCTAAGTTTTTACCCAAGATAGAAACAGGAAGCTACTCTCTGCCTTGCTCCCAGCCTGTAGCTGGGAGGGGGGGGTCACTCGGGGTTAAAGAGGCCTGACAGGACCCTCTGACCACCCTGTACTCTTTCAGGTGCCATTGGGGAGACAGAAGAGACCCCAGCTCAGCACAGGCACCCCAAGACAGTCCAAGGTGAGTACGTTCAGATGTTCATTCGACAAACACTCAAGTGCCACTATGCACAAGTGGCTGGTGCCCTTTGTGGCCACACAACCCTGTGAGCTGGGGGCTGCTTGGAGGTCCCCTCTACATCTGAGGAGACCCAAGGCCCAGGGAATGAGAGGCCCAGCCAGGGTATGAGAGAATTAACTTCAAACCCAGAAGTTGGACCCTAAAGTGTGCTCTCCGAGACTGCCATGTTCCGGGTCTCCCTGGTGCCAGTATGTATTTGCTGAATAGAAAAGTCCTGCCTGAGTCTAATCTGGTCCTGTCATGCTTCACCAGAAAGTAGATCCTCAATTCAAGGCTGGAGAACAACACAGACCCACCTGGCCCAACAAAAGGATTTTGCAGGTGCCCGGGGAAGCCTGGGGAAGGAATCTGAAAAGGACATCGTGGGCTCTGCCTGGATGCGTGGAGGGAAAGTTTACAGGAGGAAGGATCATGACAGCCGGGGTTTTGAAGGCTACATACAAGTTCACCAGAGAGACACTGAGTGGACTCACTTTTTATCTGTGAATTCAGTAGACGTTCCCTTCCTCCCCGTGTGTCTGCCTCATTCTGGGTGATGCCAAACCTACAAGCTGCCCCCATACTGGGAAAGATGAAGCCAGACATGGACACCACCAGGAAATCAGGACCGGGCCAGGGAGGGAGAGAAGGACTAGAGACAAGGGCCAACCGGGACCCTTACAGAGGGACCAACAAGGGCTTGCTGGAGAAAGGGCCATTTGGGATGGGTTTTGAGGCATCCGTAGGAGGTTGCCAGGGAAGATGGCTTTGTTTGAGCCTTGCTGTGTTTGAAGGATGTAAGCAGAGCCAGGGTCCGTGGTCAGGTTAGAGGACCACTAAAAACGGGAAGAATGGCCAGGCACAGTGGCCCCCGCCGGTAATCCCAGGGACTCAGGAGGCTGAGGCAGGAGGATCATGAGTTCAAAGCCAGCCTCAGCAACTTATGGAGGCTCTAAGCAACTTAGTGAGACCCTGTCTCTAAATAAAAAATAAAAAGGGGGCTGGGGTTGTGGCTCAGTGGTAGAGCACTTGGCCTAGCACTTGTGAGGCCCTGGGTTGGATTCTCAGCCCTGCATATAAATAATAATCTAAAAAAGGTATTTTGTCCATCTACAACTAAAAAAGCGGGGGCTGGGGATGTGGTTCAGCATTTCTGGGTTCAATCCCCAGAACCAAAAAAAAAAAAAAAAAAAGAAAAGAAAAGAGAAAGAAAGAAACAGGAAGAATGGGAACTGTTGTAACCAGAAGCTCAAAGCTTCCTGGTGGGGAGGTGGAAAGGATCCCAGCCGCCTCCTCTGTCACAAAGCGGTTCCGGCTGGGATGTGGCTCAGTTGGTAGAGCGCTTGTCCCGCATGCACCAGGCCCTGGGCTCAACCCCCAGCACCACAAAATCTAAAGGCTTCCTTGCCTCCCCCCGGGTGGCTCTTTGGTGCTCTCTGAAGCAGGAGTGGGGAGAACCCGGCTGGGGGCTGGGTGAGAGATTCTGGACATGATTAGCCTGGGGGGGGAGACCGGATAAACCAGGTGGCTGGGGGTGCCCGGCGGTGGCCAGCCCTCCAGGCCGTCCTTCTCCACAGGAGCCCTCGACGGCCTGCTCCTGGGACCCCGGCCCGGCTGGCCAGGATGAGGTGTGCGCGCCCCCTGCGGCCCGACCTGGGCCTGGTCCTGGCCGTGGCCACCTTCGCCGTCCTGGTCCTCTTCAGCCTGCACGTGTCCACACCGCCCAGCTGCCTGCTGCCCGAGAAGCCCCTGGGGACCCCCGACGTCCTCCCCTGGCCCTCGCCGCCCGCGCGCCTCCGCCCCGCCCCGTGCCTCGCCAACGCCTCCGCCCCCGCGCACCCCGATTTTGCGGGGCAGCCGCGGCACGTGCGCGACTTCCTGCTGTACCGCCACTGTCGCAGCTTCCCGCTGCTGCAGGACGCGTCGCCCGACAAGTGCGCGCGGCCCGTGTTCCTGCTCCTGGCCATCAAGTCGTCGCCCAGCAACTACGAGCGCCGGGAGCTGGTGCGGCGCACGTGGGGACAGGAGCGCCAGGTGCGGGGCGCGCAGCTGCGGCGCCTCTTCCTCGTGGGCAGCGCCGGCCACCAGCACGAGGCCCGCAAGGTCAACCGGCTGCTGGAGCTGGAGGCGCGGACGCACGGCGACATCCTGCAGTGGGACTTCCACGACTCCTTCTTCAACCTCACGCTCAAGCAGGTGGGCGCGACCGGGAGCCGGGTGGCGGTGCGCTGGCAGATCCTTCCTGCCTCCAGGGGCCCAGGGGACCAGAAACCTCCGCTCATCCCTCTACTGCCCCTCCTCTGACCTCGCTGTCCTTTTAGTGACCTGCTCCTCCCCTGGGTGACTGGGAGGAAGGGCAGAGGGATTAAGATGACCTGCAGAGATCTGCTGGGATGACACTGGTTCAAATCCAGCCTCTGCCTCTTGGTTGCTGTTTGGCCTTGGGGGAGTTCATTTGCCTCTCTGTGCCTTTATTTTCCAGACCTGGGAAATGGGATGTGAATTAGACACCCCCCCCCACCTCTGAGGGCTGCTCTGGGGACTACATAAGACAGTATTAGTAAGGCATCTTGGGATAGGATGTCACTCAGGGGTAGAGCACTTGCCTGGTATGACTGAAGCCCTGGGTTCCATCACCAGCATCACAAAACAAACAAAACCCTAAGGCACTTCCACAGGCAACTGGTGCTCAGCTAAGTTTGGCAGTGACAGGGGCTCCCTCTCACTTATTTGTGCTGGCTCTATCTCCCCATGAGGCTGGGTCTGTGTCTCAGTCCTGGCACATAGTAAGTGCTCAATGAGGACCTTTGGATGGACAAGAACCCAGCCCAGGGCAGCAGGAAGAGCAAAGCCAAGTGGAGACACATTAGGGGACAGCACAGGGGCACATAGGCCTGGAGCCAAGGCTTCTGGTGACTCTTTCTCCATGGGTCACCTTGCTCAATGCCCTGTCTGTTCCCTTACCAGGATTGAGGACCACACCTATCTCCCAAGGTCACATTTTGAGGCACCATGGATTGAACCCTGGGGTGCTTAACACTGAACCACATCCTCGGCCCTTTTTGTATTTTGTTTAGAGACAGAGCCTCACCGACTCACTTAGGGCCTCACTAAGTTTCAGAGGCTGGCCTTGAACTTGAGATCCTCCTGCTCAAGCCTCCCAAGTAGCTGGGATTTCTTAAAGCATAAGTGCAGTAAATTTCACCTTGACAAGCATGCACCTAGCGCTAGTGACATGCTGGCCCCATATTGGGTGCTGGGGAGATGGAATACAAAGGAAAGACACTGTCCCACCCTGAGGGAGCCCAGAGACCAGTGGGAAAGGTAGGTGTCAACTAGTAGTCACATGAGTAACTACAGGGCTCAGCCAGGTGGAGTTAAAAGGAATCACAATAAATATAAATGGCACAATTTTCAGGACATCTTGATTCTTTACAAAGCTCCACCAACTGGGGAAGCAGGTGCCATAATGAGGCCTGTGGGAAAGTTGGGAACTGAGACCCAGGTCACCCCAGAGAGTGGCAGTAACAGGCTATCCCTGTTGAGGGACTCCAGCCCTCAAGCTGACACCCCTCCTGCCCTGCAGGTGCTGTTCCTCGAGTGGCAAAAGACCAGGTGCACCCACGCCAGCTTCGTGCTCAACGGGGACGATGACGTTTTTGCACACACTGACAACATGGTCACCTACCTGCAGGGCCTTGACCCCGACCAACACCTCTTCGTGGGGCATCTGATCCAGAACGTGGGCCCCATCCGGGTTCCCTGGAGCAAGTACTACGTGCCCCAGGTGGTGACGCGCGAGGAGCGCTACCCTCCCTACTGCGGGGGAGGTGGCTTCCTGCTGTCCCGCTTCACCGCCGCTGCCCTGCGCAGGGCCGCCCCGGCCCTGGACCTCTTCCCCATTGACGACGTCTTCCTGGGCATGTGCCTGGAGCGCGAGGGGCTGAAGCCCACCTCCCACAGCGGCATCCGCACAGCTGGGGTGCAAGCCCCGTCCACCCGCCTGTCCTCCTTTGACCCCTGCTTCTACCGGGAGCTGCTGCTGGTGCACCGCTTCCTGCCCTACGAGATGCTGCTCATGTGGGACGCGCTGAGCCAGCCTGACTTCACCTGTGGCAAGCGGGTGCAGGTCTTCTAAGGTCACCTCAAGGTCCCCCGCCACTGAGCTCCTGTCTCCACTTGAACAAAAAACGAAGGATCCCTTCCTCCTGGGAAGCGGGAGGCAGAGGACTTGGTCTTCCCAGGGGAGCTGAGCATAAGGAGCCCTGGGGTCTAAGGAGTGAATACGCTGCCTGGCGAACTCCTACACACCCTTCAAAACCCTCCGGGTCTGTGCTCCAGAGTTCCCTCTCCCGTCGGGAGCAAACCCAGGCAATGTGACCGGCACCTTTCCATGGTGTCTGATGACGGGAAGCCCCTCTGCCAGGATTCCAGCTGTGGATGCCTCCGGTCCCCTGGGTGAAGGCCCCACTTCCCAGTTCTGACCTGAATCACAGACTGGACTGACACAACCCCTCCTTCCAACTGGTGCTCTGGTCATTTTGTGGTAGATAGTTCCAGCCACAGCTCAAGGCCGTCCAGGGGCCCCTGTGTCCACTGGAGTGGGAAGCAGTGGTCAGCCTGGGCCGGCGGCTCTACTCCTAATGCCTCTGTGGGCTTCAGGCCCCTCGGTTAGAGAGAGACCGGCCCGCCCCGCCTCACCTGTGGCATCGAGTGTCATTGGAGGGACACAGCTGTCCGCGTCAGGCTGTGGGAGCTCAGAGTGGCTCCGGGTCCCCAGCAGGGCTTTGTCCCCACACCTGCACCCCCCCAAGAGCTCAGGGAACGGCTCAGAGTGGGGCCAACTTTCACCCACCCACTGCCCAGGGAAGGGGTGACAGGTCCCCAGGCGGCCCCAGTGTGTTTTACAGGTGGGAGGGTCCACGTGAGCTGGTGACTCCCTGCTGCCCCCAGGCGGGACCTGAGCTCCCCAGGCCCCGTGGGGATGAGGCAGCTGGGCAGAGTGTCCTCAGGGAATAAAGCATTTTGTGAAAACCTGGAGATCAATTTATTTTTTAAAAAAGCTGTTTCTAAGTGTTAACGAGAGACTGGTCGACATCTGTCTCTTCCAGTCTCAGATTTCAGGAGGAAGTACCCGTGGCGGCAGTGGGTGGTTGAAAGTGGGAGCAGAGGGCTTCTGTCAGGCATATGGACCTCACCCCAGCCCCGCTCACACGCCCTCTGTGGCTCCCTATTGCCCCCAGCTCACATCTGCCAAGGCTGATTCAGGCTGTGGGTTTGCAGGACCTGGAGTGAAAGGCGGTGGGTGGCACTGCTCCTGACAGCTGGGACATTAGACCCCCTTCTGAATCCTGTGGGGCCACCATCCGGCCCTGCCCTGTTCGCTTCTCCTCCCACCAGGACAATGGCTGCGTATCTCCAACCCTCCTCTCCTCCCCCAAGTATCTACTGGGCGCCTACTGTGTGCCTCACACCCTGCCGGGTGCTCCTCCTGCCTCCTGGGGGAAGGGTCCCCGTTCGGACCCACCTTGTAACAAAAAGGCAAACCTGTCAAAGACTGAACAGGCAGGCACCAGAGTGGTGAGGGCTTGGAGACCCAAAACCAGGTGAGGGGACCCAGCATGGTGGGGACATCCAGGCCACAACTGCCCCCGCCCTGTCCCTGCTCACACTCACACACCCTCTCTGGCTCCCCATTGCCCCACGGCTCCCCTGCAGTCCTGGGCCGCTTCCTCCTCCTCCCACATGGATTCATATCGCCTAGAAGCTCAGAATGCAGCCTTATCTGGAAAGAGGATCTTTACAGATGGAATTAAGGTAAATATTGAGGGCTGTATTAGGGTGGCCTCTAAACCCAGCAGGGGTGTTTGAAAGACACCCACAGAGCAGAAGGTCACGTGATGATGGAGGAGCGGTGGCGCGATGTGGCCACAAACCGAGACACTAAGGATTTCTAACCCTGCAACACCTCGCCTCCAGACCAGCGGCCTCCAAAGGAGAATAAGTTCCTGTGGTTTAAGTCATCCAATTTGTGGTCCTTGGTGACAGCAGCCCTGGACACTAGGTAAATGGGTCACTGAGCCAAATGCTTCACTAGTCTTGCGAAAGGGTCCTATCATACAATCCCCCACCCAGGGTGGAGGGAGGCTGCGGTGAGAGGAACGCTCAGAGCTGGAGTAATAAATGTCCACTCTGATGGTCACTCAGGAATTTCTGGGTTGTGTCCACTGCTCCAGGGCTGGAGGTGGGGGGTCCCTTGGAGGGGAGCTGGGAGAAGCCCTGCAGCGGGCTACCGGGTGCCCCTCTGTGGGCTTCAGTTTCCCCCTTTGCACTGGGTGATCCTCAGGGTGGCATCAGGACGGGCCCACGCAGGGCAGACCCAGGCTCGTCCCTTTCTCTAGAGAACACGCGGAGCTGCTCTGGATTGTTTATTTCCCATCGGGGACAAGGAGGGCAGTGTCTGGGACCCCTCTCAAAGAGGACATTTGCCCCGCTGCCCCGTGTGTCAGCTCCATGAACCGGGGGATCCTCAAGTCCAGGCTGCGGTGTGTCCCCAGGTGGCTTCACAGGACAGCTCACAGTGGCCTGCAGAGGTGGTGAGCGCCTGTCCCAGGCAACCCCCATGCCCCGCCCCCGGTCATCACGGTGCTCTGTGCCTCTGGGCCTGTCCCTGGGACCACCCCCAGGGAGGGCTCAGTGGGGACAGAGAGCCCTCAGGTCCTGTTGGGTGCAGCCACTGCGGCAGCAGCGCCTTGCAGGGTTGGTGGCCACTTCCCGTCGGCGGCGGTGAGAAGCCGGGAGCAGGGCCCCGGGGCCGGGCACTAGCGCAGTGTCCCCGTCCAGCAGCAGCCCGTGAAGGAGGTGTCTTCCCGCCAGCCACTGCAGCAGCTCACCTGGGGACAGAGCAGAAGTCAGCAGGGAACGGGGGTCCCAGAGGACACCCCACACTGTGTGCACCCAGCTGAGGACCCACCAGAGGCTCCTCATGCACAGGGAACAGGGAGTGGCTGTGTGTGGTGGCACCGCCTGTGATCCAGCAGCTCAGGAGGCTGAGGCAGGAGGAAAGTCAGTTTGAGGCCAGCCTCAACAACTTAGTGAGGCCCTGTCTCTAAACAAAAAATAAAAGCCTGGTGCTGTGGTGCGCACCTGCCATCCCAGCACCCAGGAGGCTGAGGCAGGAGGATGGTGAGCTCAAAGCCAACCTCAGCAAAAGTGAGGTCCTGCCTCTAAATAAAATAGGGCTGGGATGTGGCTCAGTGGTCAAGGGCCCCTGGGTTCAATTCCCGGTACAGAAAGAGAGAGAGAGAAACTGGCTTGCTTATTTGGGGCCCCTGCACACACAGGAAGCTGTTTGTTCCGTCATCCACTCTCATGCCCACACTTACGTCCCCAGCTGTACATGTCCCCACCTGCCACCTGCGTGCCCCAAGCCCGACCCAAAGAATGTTGGGCTCCTGGAGCTGCAGATGGTGCTGGTTCCCCAGCAGGTCCAAGACCTGGTCAGAGATGGAGCCACACACTCCCCAAGGTGCAGAGTTGGTGGGGCCCCTCCAGGTGCACACGTGTGCAGGAAGGGGACACCCAGGGACCCAGCACCCTCTACACGAGACTCAGGGACAGAGTAAGGAGGAAGAGGCACAGAGAAGGCAGCAAAAAACCAAGACGAATATTTTAGGGCCTGGGGATGGGGCTCCGTGGTAAAGCTGGTGCCCGGCAACCCCAACACCACGACAATGACAATAAAAAAATATAAAGCAATAACCCTCCCATGTACACTGGGGGCTGAACCTGGGAGCTCTAGCCCTGAGCCACATCCCCAGCCCCTCTCTTATTGTTGTATATAGAGTCAGGGTCTCCCAGCGACTCCGGAGGCTGAGGCAGGAGGATGGCGAGTTCAGAGCCAGCCTCAGCAACTTAGCGAGGCCTTGAGCAGCTCGGGACACCTTGTCTCAAAACAAAAATCTTTAATACATCAAAATTAAGGGGAAAATTCATCAAAATCAAAATGTTGTTATATACAGAGCGTCCCACCCGCGCGCTGGAATGTCCTGCTCTCCTGCGCCCACGGTCCCCACACCCGCAGGGGACCCAGCCTCTGGCGACTTTCACCGCTGCCCGCCTGCACCTGTTCCACCCAGGCATCCCCGAGCGCAGTCCCCGCCTGTCCCCACTCACGGTCGCCGCCTGGCGCCGGCTTCCCAGCCTCGGGGGACCAGCGCGGGCCCCCGCACACGCGCACCAGCTCGCGCACGAAGTGCTGCCCGCACAGCTTCTCGCGCGCTTCCAGGGCGAGCGCGGGGCCCATCGCCAGCACCAGGGCCGCGACCAGCAGCGCCAGTGCCCGGGCGGGCAGACGAGGGTCCATGGTGGCAGAAGACGTCCAGCCCCACCGGGGACTCTCCCCTTATAGGGCCTGGGCCGCCCCAGCTGGGGGCCCTTGGAGGAGGAACACAGCCTTCCCGGCGGGGCCAAGGTCAAGGGTGGGATCAGGGCCTGTGTGAGCAAATGAATGCACCCGACCTGGGTCAGTCCCCGAGAGACAGACAGACAGAGACAGATGGACAGCAGACAGAGAAAGAAAGGGGGAAGCCAGCCAGCATGGGGGGCTACGGGGTCTCCTGAGCTCAGCAGCATTCAGACACTTCCTGTCCCTGACACTGCACACTGAGGAAACGGAGGTCCACACAGGGACCCCAGGCCTGTCCAAGGCCCCAGGGGACTGAGCAGGGCCTGGGTTTCCTCCAAGCCCCAGGGCGGGGGTCTCCACACACAGGGTCTCCCAGGAGCCAGGCTGGAGACCGGCACAGCCCGTGTGTCCTGGGCCTGCCCAAGGTCCAGGGGGTGGGTGGGGGGAATCTTATGGTTCCCTTTTGCCAAAGAAGGAAACTGAGGCTGAGAGAGGGGAGCTGGGTGGGCAGCGGATTGGCTCCCTCCCAGAGCAGCCCCCTCCCTCCCTCCCTTTTCCCATCAAATCGGGGCTTTGCTGGGGCTGAGAGAGCAGGGATGGAGACCTCTGAGGTCCTTGGTCTCTGCTTCTAAGTCTCTTGGCCTCCATCGCTTAGCCTCCCTGTCTCCCCCCTTCTCCTTCTCTGTGTCATGGGGGCTGGCCCGCCCCAGCTGAGGCTGGCCCCATCCTGGTAGCCTTGCCTTCTGCTGTCCAGCCTTGCCCTCTGACCCCAGAGCAGGCTGTTCCTTCCGCCCCCCAGGAACCTGTAATCAGCTCTCCCAGGACGGTCTGAGCCAAGGCCGGCAGCTGGGCTGGAGGGGAGGAGGCCTGTCCTCTGGCCAAGGTCTCCCCCACTTGCCCTCCTCCCCAGTCTGGCCCAAGAATCCCACAGTGGACCCCCAAAGTGTCCTGGCCCACAGCCCTGTCAGACCCTCAGACGCCAAGTACACCAACAAATCCTCCTTCCCACTGAATCCTTTATTCATTCAACAAACTCCCAGACTCCACTGTGTGCCCACCCTGAGCGAAGACCTCAGCTCAGGCCCCAAAGAGCCCCCCATGTCAGCGGTTGGACTGGAGAGCAGGACAGGGCTGGCGCAGCGTGTGTGGGGGCCACACAGAAGGACATGACAGCTGGGGTTTTGAGAGATGAATAAGAGCTTCACAGGGAGGCAAAGTAACAGAAAACCCTTCAGATAAAGAAGAGTGACGGGAGCATAACCCGAACGAGAAACCTCCTCACCAGCCTCAGGAAGTTGCCTCTACCACCAAAGGGCCAGTTCGGCCCTTGCAGAACTGAGACCAGAGAGGAGAAGCAACTTGCCCACCCTCACACAGTAAGTGGGGGAAAGGTGGGCTCCAAAACCTGGGCTCTTCACCTCCATACTCTGAGCCCCTTCACCCTTGGCATGCTGTTCTCTCTGCCAGGAATGCCGTTCCTTCTCTTAATTGCCTCAAAAGTTCCCACCAGGCTCTCATATCATCTGTTGTGTGACCTTAGAGGGTCAGGACAGAAAGGGTCCTACTGACAGCTAGGGAAACTGAAGTCCAGGGACACTCAGGCATGGCTAGGGGGACACTGGAACCCCAGCCTCCCGTCCCCTTACTCCATCTGGAACAGACACAGGCTCTGTCCTGCAAACCCCAAGCAGGACAGCATCTCTCATCCTTGGGTCAAAGAGCAATGCCCTCGCCAGGCGCCGTGGCGCACCCCTGTAATCCCAGTGCTCTGGAGGCTGAGGCAGGAGGATCATGAGTCCAAAGCCAGCCTCAGCAACTTAGCAAGGCCCTAAGCAACTCAGCGAGACCCTGTCTCTAAATAAAATACAAAATAGGGCTGGGGATGTGGCTCAGTGGTCAAGTGCCCCTGAGTTCAATCCCCAGAACCCCCCAAAAAGCAATGGCTGAGATCATATACTTAAAGTTACATCGTATCCACTTTGGGAAGAAGAAAGGAAACTCAGGGCCACACCAAGAAGGGATGGGAAGCCAGGAGGGGCTTGAATTTTGTCCCTTGCATCTGCGGGCAGGGCTCAGGAGCCATCTGCCGTGCATCTTTACAAGTTCCTGGGGCCACCAGGCTGCTGACCAATGTCATCTGCCCCAGGAGGGATCTTCATGAAGCAGGGGACCCTCCCAAGGCCTCAGGGGACCAGAGAGGGGCAGTCCTCTGCCTGAGGTCACACGGAGATCTGAGTTCTGGAGATATAAAGAGGACGGGGAACAGGTTTGCCCTTGGGATGAGCCAGCAGAGAAGGCGTAGGTCTGACGCCCTCGGCTGCTACCCCCGGTTTCCACTCCACAGCACGTCCAGCTGGGGACCCAGGACACTGAAGGTCGGCCGGTCCTGTGGGCTCAAGGCCCAGCACAGCTTCATAAGTTCATGAACCTGAAAGGACGGGAGTACAGTGGGATCAGGCCCAGGCAGCTGGAAGGACGGGACTCCCATTCAGTTTTAAAACAGAAATTAATCTCCATCCCATTTCTCCTCCCACGGCTCCCAGTGGATCCCTGCCCTGAAGCCCTCCTCCTAGCATCTCCCCCCCCACACCCTCTCATGTTTGCTCCACTTAGCCACTCCTACCTCTGCCTCACTGTTATCTAAACGCACCAAGGTCATTCCCACCTCAGGGCCTTTGCACCTCCTGTATGTACACTGGGATCCCTTCTCCCATCTGTACCCAGGGATGGGCTTCTCCTCCTCTGTCAGGCATCACCCCCTCTAACAGGACCTCCTGGTGACCCCATTCCACCATTCCTCCCTGTTTATCTCTTCCAAGGTTTTTGTTGTTTGTTTCTTATGTCAAGGCGCCCATGCCCAGGGGTGCTCCTGTTCACTTGAAGACAGAGAGTATCTGTCTCTTCTCTACCTACTGAGTCCCCGGCACCCACTCCAGGGTCTGGCACACAGTTGGCATTCAATGAATGGTGACCTGAGTGGATGAATTTGTGCATGACCACCCACCTGTCTCACACACACAAGGTCGTAAACCGTGAGAATCACCATCACTCATGAAGCACGCACAGGGGGCAGGGCTCGGAGCTGGGCTCTTGTAGGCACTGCCTAGCCTAAGCCTCCCTCCCCAGGAGACCTTACTATCCCCATTTTGGAAATGAGTAAACTGAGGTTCTGATGAGCGTTTGTGAGCTGCCACACAGGGCGCTAGGGGCTACCTCGGGGTCAGGATCCCCTCCAGCCGCACAGCCAGTCCCAGCTGTCAATCAAGAGACACGGCGGTGGGGAGCTCGAGACCCCGGAACCCGAGGCCCGCCCTTCAGCGCTCACCTCACGGGGACAGGCGGAGGGCGCCGGCAGCCTCTGGCCCTCGGCCAGGAGCTCCAAGAGGCGGCAGAGGGCCGGGGCATCTCGCTCGCACCCCATCATTCGCAAGAACTCCTGGGACCAAAAGGGAGAGCCCGCGTTGGGGACGGGCCATCCACGAGGGGGGAAGGGGCGGCGGGTGGGGGGCTGGGGGTCTGCCTCAGTGAAAGGGGGAGGGAAGGGGGAGGGGCCGCCCGTGGGTGTGGGTGGCAGGAAGGGGGTCCTCCCCACGGGGCCTAGAATTAGGGGATCCCAGCAGAAGGCAGGATGGGGATGGGCCACCAGGGAGCGGGATGCGGATGCTGCTCACGGCGGAGGGGCTGCAGCTCTTGTCGCTGTAGGTGAAGAGCTCGTAGAGGACGACCCCGAAGCTCCAGACGTCGGACTGGCGCGAGAAGACGTTGTCGGAGAGGGACTTGGGGGCGTACCTGGCGGGGGGGGGCCGGGGGGGGGGGGGGGGGGGGGCGGGGGTGGAGATGCGTGGGGGGCCGAGGACGGACGCGAGACAGGGAACTGCCAGCGTAGGTGGTGGCTCGGAGGCCAGTGGCGCCCCGCGGTCTGGTTCCCTGACTGGAGGACAGGGGGGTTCTCCGACCCCACCTGGCGCCAGGGCAAGGCCAGGCGCTAAGCGGCGGGAGAGGACGGAGCCAGGACCCTGAGGGGTGGGGGCTGAGCCAGGTAGGGAGGAGGGGCGGGGCTAAGGCTGGAGGCCCGGCCAGTAGAGGGAGGAGGCGGGGCCAGTGTTTACTGGTGGGCGGGGCCATGGTGGGGCGGGGCGGGGCCTGGGCTGGGGGCTAGAGATGAGAGGGGGAGGAGCCTCTGGCGGGGCGGGGCGCCGCGGGTGGTGGGCGGGGCTACGGTCAAGGGGCGTGGTCGGTGCCAGGTAGGGGCGGGGCCGGGCGCCCAGGGTGGGTCCCTACCAGAAGATGGGGCTCTGGCCGGGCTCGCGAACCACGTAGTAGTCCTTGTCGAGCGGCAGCAGCTTGGCCAAGCCGAAGTCGGCGATCTTGACGTGAGCCTCGTTCTCCACCAGGATGTTCCGGGCCGCCAGGTCGCGATGCACGCAGCGGCGGGAGCCCAGGTACTCCATGCCCTGCGGGTGGGCGGCGTGCACTTGCCGAGGGACCCCAAACTGGGTCGGAATTCGACCCCACCCCGACCCAGACCCCAAGCCGGAGCCTACCCCGGACTCCTGGGCTCGGCTCTGACAGAGCCCAACTCGACCCCACCCCGCAATCCCACCTGGATCCCAAACTCCGCCCCTCGGCCTGCACCCCACCCGATGGGCCCCGAAGGTCCTGGGGTCGCTCCACCCTTACTCCGGCCCCGCACCTTGCAGATCTGCGAGGCGTAGAGGAGGAGGCGGCTCGAGTCCAGGCGTGCGCGGTGCCTCTGCAGAAAGTCACGCAGGCATCCGCTGGGCAGGTACTCCATGACCAGCCGCAAGCTCTGGCGACCTGCAGAGGGTGAGAGGTGTCACCGAAGGCCCACCGGCCCTGACAGCTCCCCTGGTGTTTTTGATTGTTTTTTCAGTACTGGGGATGGAACTCAAGCCTTTTACATGCTAGCAACCACTGTAAACTGAGCTACATCCCCAACCTTTTCTACTTTTATTTTGAGACAGGGTCTCGCAGGGGCTCAAACTTTGGATCCTCCTGCCTCAGCCTCCTGAGCAGCTAGGATTAAAGATGCACCCCACCACAGCCGACCTCCCACTTTTCCTTGTGTCCTGTTACCTCAGTGTTGCTGTCCACAAAATAGGAACAGCAACAATGGTACTTCTCTTGAGCACCTTCTACAACATACATTGATACATTTAAATCTCATAATAGCTCGTTTTTCAGTTGGGAAACCGAGACTCGGGTTGAACGGCCTGCTGAAGGTTTTGCCCGGCTGGTAAGGGGCAGAGGCAGGGTTTGAACCAATGTCCATCTGAATCTAGATTACCAAACGTGAATCGTTCCTGGTTGGCATTCTGAGCCCACATGAAGTAACCGCAGGAGTAGGTGCAATTGGAAGAGCTCCCAGAGGTGGCTCACCGGGGCCATAGCTGACACCACGGTACTTCACAATAAAGTCACTGTGCATGGCTTTGAGGATCTGGATCTCCCGCTGGAAGTCCCTCTGCTGATCTGGCCCACTGTGCTGCAGCTGCTTCACAGCCACCAGGGCGCCCGTGTTGTCACCCAGCGGGTCATAGCGGCACAATTCCACATTGCCAAAGTTGCCCTGGGGAGAGACAGAGCTGGTATCCTCAAGCCTGGGGTCTGCCCTGCCTCCTCAGTCCAGCCCCCTCACCTTTCCCAACTGTGAGATGTACTTGAGGTGTCTTTCCTCAAAGATCGTGGGGTCCTGGCAGGCATAGAGCTGGGCACCACTCCACAGCCCATCGCGGGGCGTCAGGGTGCCAGGGGTTGGGTCTGAGAGGAGCTCATAGTCTAGGGGCACAGAGAGTGGTGAGCGGCACATTTCATTCTGGCGGCACCTAAGCTGATCTGCTGTGTAACTGCAGATCTGCACACTACCCGTCTCTGTGCACTATGGCAAGGCAAAGAGTACCTCGTGGGAAATGGAAAGAGGCACCTTCTGGCCAAGGCAGCCCCCTTGCCCAGTGCACATATATGGTACAGACCCAGAGGGGCCTGGTGAGACCCCATTGCCCATCTCCTATGAGATCAGAATTTGAGTGAACTGGGACCGATGCAGGAGGTGTTCTGGTGCTCCTCCAGTTCCGGCCATTGGAAAGCCAGCTGGGTAGATTCACAAAATGCCAAGTGCCTATGGATCTGGACACCCTCATCAAATGAAAACTAAATATCCAGTGAGTTGAACTTTGAATTAGGGGCCTGTTTGTTATAGCAGACCTCATGGCTCATGCTGACTGTGAGCAGTCATCACCGACTCCAACCTTGCCAGGCACCTGGGAGGCTCCGAATGCAAACCATGCTCCTCCCACTGGCCCAACTGGACACTGCAGCCCCACCCACTCTGCCCACCCCGCCTGGTACCTGAAGTGATGAGGCTGTTGAGGTCCCGGATGACAGCTCGGAAGGAGGGCCTCTGGCCTGGCTCGTAGGCCATGCACTGCTGGATCAGCAGGGCCAGCTCTGTCCACTTGGGGGCCGGCAGCTGCTGCCGGTCCTCATAAAACTTGAGTTTCTGAGGCAGGGAGGAGAGGGCGGTGACCCCCAGTCCATCCTCAGGATCCCCCCACCTGAGTCCACCAACTTCCCCGAGCTGAACTTCAGTCCAGTGGGAGTGCTGACCTTGGGGGGGTCCAGGTGGTTGAGGGGCATCGGGATCCCGCTGAACACCTCCCAGACTGTTGCACCAAACCCCCACTTGTCGGCTTCCAAGCCAAGCGTCTGGGTCTCCTGGAGACACTCGGGGGCCACCCAGGGGATCCTGTCAGTGAGCACTGAGGGACAGGGACAAGGTCAGGGGTCACTGCCGTGGAGGTGACCTCTGTGCTCCTGAGTGGGCCGGGCACAGGGAAATGCAGAAAGGATCTGATGAGCCACGTTCTGCCTGGCAGACTCCTGCACACCCTCCAGAGCCCACTTTCTTAAGCACTTACTTTCCAGGCTTAGCACAGTGGGGCTGACACCAGGGTCACTCAGCTTGATGAATGGCGAGCTCCCGTCAGCCCCCTCCCGAGCCAGGAGCACCTTCCGGGCTGAGACGTTGCCGTGAGGGAGGCCTTTGTCCTCCTGAGTGGGCGGGGCATGGGAAATGCCAGCCAGGGTTTGATGAGTGAATCCTGTTTGGCAAACTCCTACACACCCTTCAAAGCCCACCCGCTACAGATCTGATGGACTCCGGCAACCTCCCCAGACTCCTGGTGTCCTGTCTTGGCTCCTCTAACCCACCTGACTGTGTCCCTCCCCCTCTCAAAAAGCACCCCACCTGTGGCTCCCCATTGTCTCCCCACTGGTCCAAGCCAAAGCCCTCAGCCTGCAGTTAAGACCCTTGCTCACGTTTTGCATGAGGTTCTCTTTGACATCCCACCCAGAGCTCCTGTCAACGCAACTGGAGCGCACTCACCAGGTAGTTGAGGGCGTAGGCCAGCTGTTTGACCACCTGCAGCTTCCAGCTGGCTGGCACCAGGTGGCCATGTTTGCGCAGGTAGGTGTCTATGGCTCCCAGGAGGACGAATTCCTGCACCATGATGCCTGGTGGCAGCGGGAGCAGGGTGAGGGAGGTGCGCAGTGATGGCAGGCTCCGCCCACCCCGCTCTGTGGGAGGATCCCTAGCGCTGGCTCCGCCCACCCCCTTCCCGCCCATCCCCACCCTCTCCTCACCTCGGGTTCCGAGCCTCTCCTACTCTCAGAACTCTGCCTCATCCCCCCCTTCTCCATCCTTGCCCTTGACTCTCTGAAAGGCCCCCTACCCAGAAGGGTCCCCTGAGCATCCACAGTGCCCTTTCTTGCTCTGTCACCTTCCAGGCCATGTGCCAGCTCCTGGCACACACCAGACTCCCGAAAAATAGCTTCTCAGCTGAGCTACTGGAACCCAGGGCCAGAGAGGTTATGCAGCCGTGCAGGGCAGCACAGCAAGGACACAGCTCACTGAGGTGGAGACCAAGGTCCGCGTGACTCGAGATCATTCTGGAGACTGGTGGGAACCTGGTGGACCCTGGGGGCCAACTAGGGGCTCAGCTATCGCTAGTGCTGCCGCTCCAGAGCTGAGTGGGGGTGAGGTGCGGCCAGGGCTCGGGGTGCCGGGGTGGGGCGCGGGGCTCTCACTGTCTCCAGCCATGCACACGCCGTGGAGCAGCACCAGATGCGGGTAGGACACCTGACTCATCAAGCTCGCAGCTTCCAGGAAGGACTGGAGAGGGCGGGAAGGGGGAGGAGGTGCATGAGTTCCTTGGACTCTGGGATGGAACCGAGGACCCCGGACTTAATGCTCAAAAACCCGCACCAGGAGAACTGGCCACAGGCCCCCTTTGGTCCTGAAGTTCACCATCAATGCACACAACACTTGATGATGATTTTCTGATGGGGAGCGGAAGTCCCACTCTCATCTACCTTGAGTCTCTCACACAGAATTGGGTTTGAAAAGAGCTTCAACTTTCCTCTGTGTGTCCAGCCCCTGCTGATGTCCACTGCATTGCTCTCCTCTCCGGCCAATTGGCCTCCTCACGCCTCCTTAGCCATGCACTTAGCCATCTGTTTTGTTTCCCAGGCTGGCCTTCAACCCCTGGGTGCAAGGGATCCTCCTGCCTCAGCCTCCTGAGCAGCTGGGACCGCAGGGGCGCTTTGGTTGCTTTCCAGCCTTGTGTGTCTTTTAAGCTCTCCGAATCCAAGGCCCTCCCTCCCTCCAGCCAGCCCTGGCCCCAGCATCTGTCCCCCTGGGCTCACCTCCATGCAGTTCCTGTGCTTGGCGTCCATGACCTTCAGGAGCACCTCCGTCGCCCGGGCCTCCCCGTCCACAGCTTCGTGGCGACATCCCCGGTAAATCTTGGTGAAGGACCCGTGGCCCAGGTTCTCGTGCTGGAGCAGGGGGCAGCAGGAGAGGCCAGTGAGGGGCTCCTGTGGGGCCCCGCTCCTGGCTCGGCCTCTGCCCCGTTTGGCAGATGGGGAAACGGAGGCTAGGGAGGTTACAGCCCGAGGCTGCGCGGGACAGGAGGACCTGAGCTGAGTCTCTGGTCCCCAGACTGAGGGAGCCCCCCACTTCCTGGGACCCTTACCCACTCCAGGCTGTCGGCAGGGATCTTGTGGAACGTCATCTGATTCAGCTTATGTTGGGACTGGGGCTGAGCAGGGGAGGTGGAGGGTGGGCCGCAGCCCCTCCGGACCACAGTCAAGTTGGTCTTTTCTATGGGGGGGGGGAGACAATCAGAGGTCAGAGAAAGGTCCCCAAGAATCAACGTGCTTTCTTAGTTTGGGGTCCTCTGAGATGAAGACTCAGGGGACACAGTTTATTTGAAAGGAGATCCTGAGAAGGGGTCAGAGATGTGAGCAGGGAGGAAGGAGCCCTTCGGGGGTGTCACCAGAGCACCGACTGGTGCTCCTAGGGAGCTGTCCCTTCAGAGGGGTTTGTCTGAGCAAAACTCTTTCCTCTTCTTGTCACCCACAAGAGAAGGAGACGGAGAGAAAGTACATGCTACTGGTATCATGTAGATCCAGCTGTGCCTGGATCCACCTGTACCTGAAGGCTGAACGCTAGCCCAGGGGCCAAGAGACCACCCGGACCTGTGGTTTCTGCCACTTGTCACCACACAAGAGTTGTCACAGGTGTAGAAAGTCAGGGCTGCAGATGGATGGCCCCGCTCAGGGGAGAGGGTGGGCTCACCTTTGGGTCTGGGGGTGCAGCAGGAGCTAAGCTGCAGGGCAACTCCATCGACGTGAAGCCCGCCGTCCCAGCAGGCTGCCAGCAGCTGCCGAAGGCTGCTGTGAGGACGGCCAAGGCCGACCAGCGACACGGTTCCTACAGGGTCTCGGCGGATGAGGCAGCCCTTGTAGTCAGGGCCGAGGGGTGTCTGCAAAGGGGAGAGACCCTGAGTGGGGGCTGGGCCGCACTTCCCCTCCTCCCTCCTCCCTCAGCTCCGGCCGCTCACTGGGTCTCCAAGCCTTTCCCCTTCCCCCAAGAGCCAAGGCTCGCTCAGTTCAGGTCGAATGTCACATTCTCCAGGCAGCCCGCTCTGGCCTCCTGGCCCCAGGAGGTGCACCAACCTGGACACACACAGTGAGGAGGAAGCTGTCGAAGTCCTGGGGGCTGCGCCGCAGCACGTAGGAGCCGGGAAGTGAGCCCCCCGCCTTGAGCTTGTTGATGGCAAAGTCCAGGCTGAGGGAGGGCGGAGTGAAGGGGGAGGACACGGAGAGGGAGCCCACGGCAGCAAGAGACAGAGGGCGGCCGAGAGGCCAGACTGGGTTTGAATTCTGATCCTTCTGAAGCCCTGGACCCTCATCAAGGAACATTCTCCCGGGTCCCCCCTCCCCTGCGTAAGTCAGCAGAGGACTTCATCTGGGAGGTTAAGGAGAGGCTGTAGGTGAACCCAGGCATCAGGGCCTTTCCAGGAAATGGCCCTGGGGTCCCACGGGTCGGAAGCAGGAGAGAGGCTGCCCTTGGCAGCAGAAGGCAGATCCTCATGGAGTGCCACCTGTGCGTTTTGAGCACCTGACCGCTGGTCCAGGGCTCCTGAAAAGCTGGGACATTGAGGGCCCAGAAGGGGAGTGACCCTGAGCTGGGCGGCAGGGGTGAGTCCTTACGTGATGGGGCCATAGCACTGCTCGGCCACTTCCTCCAGCAGCCGTGGCGGTGCCACCTCCTTGCAGAAGAAGTGGCGGGAGTCGCAAATCAGGCGGAAGTAACCGTCCACCAGAGCCAAGAAGGACAGCGCCTCGGGCAGCCCCGGGAACTCGGCCTCCTGCGCAGAACCCCCATCAGCGCTCGGTGCAGCCCCGGGGTCCCGTGTCCCTGCCGCTCTGGGGAAGTGTTAGGGCAAGGGGTGCTGTACCCACCAGGATCTGGTTGTCTGTCCTGGTGATAGTGACCAGGCGGTGCTCCCCGGCCGGGCCAACACGTGGGGCTTGCTTGATGCTGATGTCCACGATTTCTGGAAAGTCACAGAAGGGCTGGAAGACCTGGGAAATTGGGAAAGGGCTGAGGCTGGGGGTCTCAGTCCCTCTTGGAAGCCTGGATCCCACCGACCACGCCCATCCTGGCCTCTCCCCTCTACTTCTCCCTGCCAAGCCCCGCCTCCTCCCGTCCTTGGGTCCCTAGCTCTTGGAGCCCCGCCCCTTCCCTTAGTCCCGCCTTTTTCCTGGACCCTCTGTTAGCCCCCTGGCCCCGCCCACCACTAAGTCCCCTCCCCTTCTCAGCTCCTCCCATTCCATTGCCGCCCCTGGGTCGCCCCTCCCTCACTGTTTAAGCCCCGCCCACCACCACTTGCCAATGGCTCCAACCCTGCCCCTCCTGAGCCTCGCCCACTTTCCCACCCTCCTTTAGGCCCCGCCCCTGACCCCGCCCCTCGTCGGCCCCTCCCTCCCAGCTGGTCCCGGTGCAACCCGGTCCAGTGCCAGCGCGCACCTCCTGTGCTGCCGGACTCCAGGAGATGCCGCTGCCACCAGCCACACGGAGCAACCCCTGCCCATCCTGGCCACCCGCGGCCCCGGACAGACCGACGCGGAAGGTCTCGGTGGTCCCAGCAGGGTCCAGCCGCTCCAGGTCCATGATGTACTTGGCCATGAGCGAGTGCCGGTCTGCCTGGCAGGCCGCCACACGGCGCAAGGCGCAGCGCACCGTGGTCCGAATACGTCTCCGAGTCACGAAGCTCAGACCCTGGATCAGGTCGCGCAGGCCAGGCGGCAGGCAGGCCTTGTAGCTGTGGGGGTTGGAGGGGAGCAAGGTGGCCTACAGCACGGGGAGGGGTCCTCCAAAGTCACACACAAACCAAGCTTTAGGGTCAATTGCAGCCTCCGTGGGGACACGAGGCAGACAGGGACACATTCGTGAACACAACTGAGGCAGGCAGGACCTCGGTGCGGGGGAGGCCACTGGCATCCACTGGACAAACAAGGACCTCACAGGTCTCTGAGCTCAGGAGGAGAGACCTCCGTCCATCTGGAGCCCTGGTGGGGGGTACCGAGTTCATGGAGACTCTTGAGTCACATGGACATACAGGCTGGTCGGGGAGCCCCACTGGGGGCTGGGCCCTGTGGGGGCCACATTGGCTCCTTGCTAGGCTCAGCAGAGGCCTCACCTGACGGTCTTCAGGAGCTGGGCAGGCCGCTGGCCCTGCTCACAGGCCATCCGGGCCACGTCCAGCACGGCCAGGCTGAGACACTCGCCCTGCTCCTGGAGGCTGAGACCCACGTGCAGGCGCCCACTCAGCAGGTCACTGCGGTGCTGGGGGAGGCCACAGTGAAGATCAGCAACCACTAGCCACTAGCCCATGTCACCCTGGGATCCCACCTCTGGGTTGAGCCCCGCAGACTCCCACCTGGGCAAAGAGGTGTTCCAGGACGGGCAGGTCCAGGATGGCACTGGCCAAGTCCTTGCGTAGCCCAAAGCGGTGGCACTTCTCCAGCCCAAACCAGTTGGGAAAGTAAAAGCTGCGTGAGAAAGGAGAAAGCCCTGGGTAACGGGCAACCTGGCCTCAGCAGGATTAGGGTTTGGGGTGCTGTAGCAGACTTGGTCAAGGCTTCTCAGAGCCCAGGTCGTTTACCCTTGCTTTGCTGTGTTACCTTGAGCAAGTGAACCACCCTCTCTGGCCTCTTTAGCCTCATCTATGAATTGGGCTGTGATCATGTCCTCAAAGTTCAGGGAGACAATAAAATGTTATGATCCCTGGGACTGGGAGGGGCTTCTTACCGCAGTCTGTAGACTAGGACTTGGGTGCCCACATCTTCCACAGAGAAGACGTGGCTCGGAGGGAACCAGCAAGACAAGTCCTCCGTGGCCAAGGCAAAGAGTGAGTGGTACACGGGCAGGATGCCTAGGAGAGGGCCGTGAGCTCCCTCCTGAGCACCAGGGCTGCTGGGCCACCCCCACGCAGGCTCACAGGGCTCTATCTCACCTTCAGCTAGGACACGTCACTCAACCTCCCTCTAAGCCCTCCCCAACTCTGTGCTTTTCTTTCTTTCTTTTTGGTACCAGGATTGAACCCAGGGACACTCGATCACTGAGCCCATCCCCAGCCCTATTTTGGATTTTATTTAGAGACAGGGTCTCCCTGAGTTGCTTAGGGTTTCCTAAGTAGCTGAGGCTGGCTTTGAACTCGAGATCCTCCTGCCTCAGCCTCCCAAGCTGCTGGGATTACAGGGGTGAGCCACAACGCCCGGCTGCCCTCTGCTTTCTTTTATCTCAAAGGATGACCAGCTGTTCTCATGTGCCATCACACTTCAGAGTCTCAAATGTCCATCCTCCTCCTTGACCAAACTCCTATTCATCCCTCAAAGCCCCAGCTCCAGGGCTGATCCCTGTAGGCAACTATTTCCTCTCCCAGTCTGGGCCCCACACAGCCCTGTCCTTCCCTCTAACCCAGTCCTCTAGGGATCCACTCACCACTGGCCTTGGCAGCCCGCACACACAGTTCCTCAGCCGAGTGGTCCCCAAAGGAGAAAGACAGCCTCTGAGGAGGCCCGGGACCCCGAGGAGGCAGCAGCACGTGGAGCGCACCAGCCTCCGAGGAGGAGAGGCTGCAGGAGCGCTGGGAGATCAGGGGCATCTCCTCACTTGGAGGTGCCATGGGTGCAGCCTGCCTGGGGCGCTTAGTCCTCTCCAGAGGGCTCAGGGCTTCTGGGCGGGGAGGGCAGAGCTGGAGAGGGACACAGTCAGGAGAAGGAGCTGAGTGGGCAGGTGTGGAAGGAGCCATCAGCCCCGGTGAGTGCTGTGCTGGGGCTGGACACCTGGGTCCGGGTGGACACCTGTCTGCAACCAGCCCCGCCCCGCCCCGCCCCGCCCGGGCAGCTTGAGCAACCAATCACAGCTGTGCAGATTCGCTGGACCAAAAAGCCAAGGGCTGCTGGCTGTGCCTGTGGGGTTTAGAGGGATAGGGACGGCCATCCTTCCTTGTGGGTTTGAGGTCACCGCTGAAGGATTCTGCACCTGGTGCCCCATGTGCCCTGGGGGTGGGTCCAGTCAGGTGACAACCGACAGTGCTTTCTGGGTCTTCTCTGCCTCCCTCCCCCGTGTCAGGCTAAATTGCCCAGGGGGTCCTTGAACTTGCAATCCTCCTGAGTCAGCCCCCAGAACTGCTGGGGTTGCAGGCCTGCGCCAGGGTCCCCCACCCCCATGCTCCACGGGGCTCCCATAGCAAGAAAGCTCCTTGGATGGGCCCAGGAGGAAATCGACCCCCTCCACCTCCCAGTCTGTGGTTCCTTCCTGCGCAACCGCCTCAGCTCAGGGACCCCATTTGGGCGGGACAAGGGGTGGAGCTTTGAGAAAAAACACAGAGGTCTTCAAGATGGACTGCAGCTGACCCGAGGAGACACCCAGAGAGAACCTTGGGTTTAAAAAAAGTTTTTTTGTGTGTATGCTCCAAAATAATGGGGGGCCCCCGCAGGGCAGGAAACGGGACACAGCATAAATGATGTTTTAACACCCCCATAATATAGCCTCCTGCTGGGGATGCGTGAAGCCCCCAGGCTCTGGATTCAAATTCCAGCCCTGCCGTATCTCGTCCTCATGGACTCAGTTTCTCAAGCTGTAAAATGGGCCGAACCCCCTCCAGTCTCGGGGAGGTGACTGGCTGGACCCAACCCAGGCCCACAGCGAGGACATGGTGGGACAGTCCTCCACGCCAGCCCAGGGAGTGTCCAACAAATGCCTGTCCACTGACGGGAAGGACACTTGGTCCAGTGGTGTGGTGGGTACCATTTTGGCTGGAGGCATGAGGCATGAGGAGAGCGAATGTTCTCCAAGGGACACCCCAGTGTCACCAGAGGCCAGCATCACAGGGCCTCCTGGACACAGTACTGTTGTTTTTGAAATAAATCTTAAGATATATATATATTTTAGCATATTGAAAGTAAAAAAGTAAAAGTCACAGGTAAAATTTGGGCCCAGAAAAATGCCCCTCTTTTTAGCCCCCGAGGTCCCCTGTCAGAGCCAGGCCGCCCTCTAGTCTCGGGCGGGCTTGGAGTGGGGGCTGCGACCTTGGCCCCCTGGGGCCCGGCGCATGCGCAATGCCTCCTGCAGGGGCGCAGGGCTAGAATTGGGGCGCTCTTCTAGGCAGGACCACGCGGGGACCCCAAGAGCGAGAGATGCGCTGTCCCTGGAGAAGAGGCCCAGCCGCCGCTGCTCTGGCGCCTGAGGACCGGGTCTCCTTGGCTTCCTCAGTCCCTCCACCAGCCCAGCCGTCCCCAGCCACCACCGTCCCCCCAGGGGTGGCCAGAGCCTGTGGCCCCGCCAGCTCTTACCTGGCGGTGGGAACCCTGGACTAAGGAAGGCCCAGCGAGGCCGGGAGGCCAGGCAGGAAAGCCCCACTGGCTCCTTCCTGTGCGGGCCCCTTGGTTTCCTGAGCCTCTGTCATTTACTGAAAGTCAGAGCCCTCTGTGGGGGTGGGGGAGGGGAGGCGGCAGGGTCTGGCCAGGGAGGGGCAGAAAGTTCCAGAACTCGGCAGGGGTAGCCCTTCTCAGTCCAGCTGCTGGAGAGCCAGACTCGGGGGAAGGGGCGACGCACAGATGGGGCCCAGGTCATGTCAGCGGGTTGGGGGGCCCCAGGTCCACTCGTGGCTTAGCCGCTGGTGCTGGGGTTTACCCACGGGTGACGAGTGTGGCCTGGTGCCCAGTAGAACTGATCGGCACCTAGGGAAGGGCAGGGGCTGGGTTTCCCCGGGAAGGACACAGAGGGCCAAGCAGTGTCAAGCTCTCCTCTGAGGTGCTTCTCTCGGGAGACTTCTTAATACTCAGCCACTTCCCCATCATTCCCTGGACTCTGGCCCTAGAAAGACAGGGGGACAGCCCTGCCCCCTCGGGGTCGGCAGCCTGGCTGGGAGGCAGCAAACCAGGACAAGCCAAATTATCCAGGATAGTAAAGGCGTGGTGACAGGAGAGACAGACGCAAAGGGGTCCCGACTTGAAGCAGGGCTAAGAACTGGCCCGAGAAGGGGTACCCGGGAGGACACAGCCAGGGCAGAGGGGGGTTAGCAGTTCAGGGGGACAGCCAGGAGACCCCTGTGGGAGGCCGGGGTGTCAGCAGGAGCCAGATCCTGGGACTTCAGGGTCTTTAGGAGAAGGTGGATTTTGTTCTAAGAGTAACCAGGAGCCACAGGAAGGTACAAAGCAGGGGCTGGTGGCATTCACTAGAGCCTTGAAGCCACCTTGAGGAGGAGGGGCTAAGCCTGGGCAGCATCCAGGTCAAGAGACCCCTGAAATCCCAGTGACTTGGGAGGCTAAGGAAGGAGGATCACAAGTTCGAGGCCAGCCTCAGCAACTTACAAACTCTACCTCAAAATTAAAAATAAATAAATAAATAAAAGGGCTGGGAGTGTACCTCAGGGGGAGCTACCCTTGGAGTCAATCTCTAGTACTGCGACACACACACATGCACCCACACATACACAGACACACAGCTGAGCCAGTGTCCTCAAGAGGAAGTAGAGCTTTAAGGACAGATTTAAGAGTTCTTCTTTGTCTCTGTAATCCCATGGTAAGTCCTGACTTTGATGAGTATTTTGTTGACTTTAACTCTGGATGCTTGCCAGACACCACCTGTGTGTGAGGCCTGGGGGACAAGGAGGCCCCGCTCCTGCCCAGAAAAGCTGGCGGTCTAGTGGAGGCCAAGGTAGATTGTCACCCCGAAGCGATTTCGGGGACCCTCGGAGCCAAGCTCCCAGGAGGGCTTCCTGGAGGAAAGGACTTTGAGACTGAAACCCAAGGACAAGCGGGAGGAGCAGACAGTAGTTTGAGGTTTGGGGGTTTCTGGGGAGGAGGGCACTAAATCAGGGTGGATGGGATCAGGGTGTTCCGGGAAGGGCCGGGTTGGGACAGGCTGACAAGTGGGAGGAGCCAGAGTGATTTGAGGTTTCCGGGAAGGGCCCCGGGGTCAGGGTGACGGTGATCAGGGTGTTCCTGAGAAGACAGGTTTCAGGGCACCTCACTTGGAGCATAAGACAGAGGGACGCGGGTAGACATGTGTCCCCTGCCGGTGGAGCTGCCCTCGTGGGGCAGGAAGTGCCGGTGGGGGCTTAGCTCAGTGTTTTTCTTTCACTTTCTATGAGCCACAGCCCAGAGACACAGACCTGTGTCCTCCTCTCTGGCCCCAAACTTGAGGTTTCGGCCTTTCAAAAGGACTGGCCGGTTTCTGGGCCACTGACAACCTTGGGTGACATTCTCTGCAATACTCTGAGAATGAGCAAGAAGACTGAGAGCAGGACAGAGGTGACGCCTTCAGCCCCAGAGAAGCCCCATAAGGAAGGTCTAGGGACAAAGCCCGAAACCTGCCCAGGGAAAACTGGGAACTCAGTGACACAAACATTAATATATATATATATATATATTTTTTTTTTTTCTTCTTCTTTTTTTCATAAGTTTAAATCCTTGAGGGTTTCTAATGGCCGAGCAGGAAGGTTGCTTTGGAATTTGGTACCAACCATGCCATGGACACGAGTCACCGTTCTCAGATTTCTCCACCCTGTGACCAAGAGTGTCCCCCTCAGAGACCATGTGTTGAAAGCTTAGTCCCTGGTGGTAGTACTGGGAGTGGGTGGGACCTCTAGGACATGGGCCAAGTAGGAGGTCCCTAGATCCTAATCCAGGGGCCTGCTGCTTTCCCCCCCTCCTGTGCTTCCTGGTTCACGAGGGCAGCACTTTGCTCTGTGACTAGCTCTCAGCATTTGTGCTGCCGTCGCTAGAGACCTGAAGCCAAGCTATCACCTGAGAGCAGGACAGAGGTGACGTATATACACCTTAAATTTTCATCTGGCAGAAGGTTCATAAATAATGTCAAAAAGTAATAAATGAAACTGAAAAGCAAAGTTGACCTGTTCTCCTTATATAAGCAACATGTACAAGGCAGAAAGAAAATGCTAATGACCTAGAGGGATATAAATCCAGACATCACACAAATATGAAGTGCAAATGGCTCTTAAGCACAAGAACAAGGTTCAGCCTCATTCTTAATGTGTTAGTCAGCTTTCTGTTACTGTACCAAAATGCCTAAGACATTCAACTTAAAAAGAAGAGAGGTTTATTTTGGCTCACACTTGTAGAGGTTTCAGTTCATGGTCACCTGGCTGTATAGCTTGTACACCATGGTGGGCACACACAGCGCATGATGAAAGAAATGTGTATTAAAATGCAATAAATTCACATGATCGTTTCAATGGATGCAAAAATGATTTAAAGAAATTCAATACTCATTCATGATTGAAAATAAAAAACTCAAGGCCAGGTGTGGTGGCCCATGTCTATAATCCCAATGGCTCTGGAAGCTGAGGCAGTAGGATCTCAAGTTCAAAGCCAGCCTTAGCATTGGTGAGGCACTAAGCAACTCAGTGAGACCCTGTCTCTAAATATAATACAAAATAGGGCTGGGGAGGTGGCTCAGTGGTCGAGTGCCCCTGAGTTCAATCCTGGTACCAAAAAAAGAAAAAGATGGGGCTGGGGCTGGGGCTCAGCGGTACAGCGCTCACCTAACATGTGTGAGGCACTGGGTTCAATCCTCAGCACCACATAAAAATAAATAAATAAACAAAATAAAATTATTGTGTCCATCTACAACTAAAAAAAATTTAGAAAAAGAAAAACTCTCAGCAAATTAGGTATGAAATGAGGAACATCTACAAAATCCCTGCAGGTCATATTACACTTAATGGTGAAAGATCAAATTGTTTCCTCTTGAGACTGGAAACCAGACAAGAATGGCAGGTTTTAGCACATCTATTCAACATTGTCCTTGCCCTTGTAATAAGGCAAGAAAAATAAATAAAAGGCATAAAGACTCAAAAAGAGGAAGTAAAAATTGCTATTTGCAGGTAATACAATTGTTTATTTTGAAAACCCAAGGGAATCTATAAGAACTACTAGAACTAGGGGTTGGAGTTGTGGCTCAGTGATAGAGCACTTGCCTAGCATGTACGATGCACTGGGTTCCATCCTCAGCACCACATAAAAATAAATAAATAAAGGTATTGTGTCCACTGACAACTAAAAAAATATATATTAAAAAAAGAGAAATACTAAAAGTAATGAATGAATTTAGCAAATGCATTGGTTAAAAAGCACTTGAGCCTGATGCAGTGTCACACACCTGTAATCCCAGTGGCTTGGGAGGCTGAGGCAGGAGGATCATGAGTTCAAAACCAGCCTCAGCAAAAACAAGGTACTAAGCAATTCAGTGAGACCTTGTTTCTAAATTAAAAACTACAAAATAAGGCTGAGGATATGGCTCAGTAGTGGAGTGCCCCTCAGTTCAATCTACAGTAGCCCCCCCGCAAAAAGCAATTGAATTCAATATGAAATAAAATTAAATTTTTATATGCTAGCAGAAAACAATTGGGAGGGGAATTTTTTTAAAGGCCCATTTGTAATAGGATATGTAAAAGGAAGTAAAATATCACTCCAGTCTGAATGTTTGTGTCTCTCCAAAAATTCATGTGCTGATGGCTGGGAACATAGCTCAGTGATACAAGACATACTTAGCATGCACAAAGCCCTGCATCTCATCTCTAGCTCTGCGGAGGAGAAGGGAGTTAATGTGTTGAACTCCTAACCTTCAAATGGATAGTATTGGGAGGCAGAAACTTTTAGGAGATGATTAGGTCATAAGAGAAGATAGATAGAATTGGTGTCCCTAAAAAGGAAGCTCCAGAGAAAGGCCTTGCCCCTTATACCAGGTGAAGACACAGAGAGAAGGCACCAGCTATGAGAAAGCAGGCCCTCAGCAGCCTCAAAATCTGCTGGCACCTTGATCTTGAACTTCATAGGACTCAAAACAGAGAAATGAATTTCTATTGCTTATGACCTACATAGTTCATGGTACTTTGTTATAACCCAAACAGACTAAGACAGATAGTTAGGGAAAATTTAACAAAAGACCTCAACACTAAAAACTACAAAATATTACTAAGATAAATTCATGCGGACCTGAGTAAATGGAAAGGTATACCATGTTCATGGTTTGGAAGTCTCCATATTGTTAAGATGACTCATCTCAAAATGATTCTCAGAGTCTGTGGGAGCAATGGTACATGCCTGTGAGTTGCCCAGCAACTCTGGAGGCTGAGACAGGAGGATCACAAGTTCAAGGCCAGCCTCAGTAACTTAGCAAGACCCTCTCTCAAAATTTAAATATTAAATGGTCAGGGGATGTAGCTCAGCAGTAGGGGGCTTGCCCAGCATGTGTGATACCTGGGTGCCGTCCCCAGCAGAAAGAAAGGAAGAAAGAAAGACATTATATAAAATTCTGGAACACACACATGACTCTATAGTGACCAAAGGTGGATCAGAGCTGTGTAAGGATGGAGGAGGAGGGAAGAATCACAGCAAAGGGCCAAGGAAACTGCTGGGGATG